TTTGAGTTTATAGAGTTTTATAGAGTTTTATAGAGTTTTATAGAGTTTTATAGAGTTTTATAGAGTTTTATAGAGTTTTATAGAGTTTTATAGAGTTTTATAGAGTTTTATAGAGTTTTATAGAGTTTTATAGAGTTTTATAGAGTTTTATAGAGTTTTATAGAGTTTTATAGAGTTTTATAGAGTTTTATAGAGTTTTATAGAGCATAAATCCTATATAGATACTTTTCTTTGTTCTTCTTTTCTCTTTTCTTTGCCGACCGGTCGGTTTCTTTGCGGTTATTTTCATTTGAATTGAATAAATAAGATTTTACCATTCATTTAGGTTTATCAGGTTGAAGCTTCCAGAGGAGTTCATCGTGGACGATCAGAATGGTTGTGATGTCACGCTACGTTCGTTCATTCGGTGGCAAAGAATGCACGCCCTGCTGGGGTACGTTTTACGGTTTCTTTGCGGTTCTTTTTTTGCCAGTTGGCTGGTTTTTTCGGCGGAATTCACCGCGGCTCGTTTTTCTATTTTCATTTAAATTAGTCAAATAAGATTTTTCCATTTCATCCATTTTATTCAGGTTGAAGCTTCCAAAGGAATTCATTGTGGAAGATGTCAGGCTACGTTCGTTCTTTCAGTGGTAAAGAAGATACGCCTGGCTGGGATACGTTTTATTCTTTTTTCTCTGTTTTTTTCTGTAATTTAACATTAAGTAAGAATGCTCACACGCATACACACAATTACATTAAATAGCTATATAGGTAGGTTATATAGGCATAATTTTAATTGTAGGTAGGATAGATAGGAAGCATCCAACACTAATGTAGGTGAATAGGTAGGCAGCGTAAGTTTATTGTTTCATTGATTCATTCTATTCATTCATTAAATCATTGGTTGATTAATTAATTAGTTAATTTATTCATTCAACCAATCGTTCAATCATTCAGTTAATCATTTATTCGTTTGTTCCTTTGTTTCTTGATTTACTACTTTGCTAATTAATAAAAACTTGTCTACAGAATGATGAAAGGTGGGCTGTGGTGGGCGTCAGCACGTTTCAGATGGTGGTCTCATGATGATCGTTCCGATGATAAATCGAAGATAATGTTAAAGGTAAATTTGTTTTTGTCTCATTGTACCTTTGAAAGTACTCGAACTTGAACAAAGATTGAGTGTTATCTCAAAAAGATAAGTTGCCTATTTTTTCCAATTGCTTGTTTTTTATTTTAGTGAGTTAATTTTTTTTTCAATTTATTTTTCAGTATCCGGTCAAATTCATTCCATCGATGCGTGTCAGATGATGGTCGGTGCAATGGAGGTTCGTCGGTAGTGAGTGAAGTTTCTGGAGAGTGCGCACCCGCACATTTACATACACACACATCAATACAACACATATATACACAACATCCATTCATTCGGTTTCGTTGTTGCTATGTTTCTCTTCAACTTTATATTTTCTTTACCGTGAACCGGGCTTTAATTTAATTCATAGGTAAGTTAGGGACTGAGATGAGTTAAACAATTGTAGGTAGGCTAGGGCTTAACATTAGTTAAAAAGCTTCAAGTAAAATAAAAACGCTAAAATATGTTAAATAAAATACTTGAAACATCTAAAACGAGAAATACAAATTTGTAGGTGAGTGAGTTGAGTCAATGTTTATAAGTAAGCTAGGGCCCTGAGAGTAATTTTATTATAGGTAGGTGACTGACTATTATTCTTGCGACTTCTTACTAGTTTTGTGTGATGTGTTTGTTTTCGCTTCACAACACCACACCAACAAAACAAACTACATTTCATTCTCGTCGTCGCCTTAAATTGAACCTTTTTGAACAATCTTTTTAATAATGTCTATTTATTTATTCATTAAATGTTGACTGGTTTCTAGTTTTTTTTAAATTGGTTATATAATTTTTGGATATTTCTTGATTTACTTTGTATATATGCATGAATAAATTATTTCTGTTTAGTATGTTGATTTAGTCATTATGATATGTTGTGAACTGTTCTTACTAAATGTTCATGTTACGTGGTTTATTATCCTTCGAGAACTTCTAAGGAGTGCGTATGATAATAATAATAATGGATAATAATTAGTTTTATCGGTCGATATTTTGTTATATTTGTTTATTTAAAATACGAATTTTAAAAAAAATTGACATTTTATAATTTTAATTAACCGTCACTTTTCATTTTTGAATGAATTCAAATAAAAGCAACTACTGTGTTTTTCTTTCTTTACTAAAATCTCGAAATTGTTTGTAGATCTGTACGGTTAACTGTTTGTTCGAGTTTGAACAGGCCTTGCAAATTTTTTTTATTTATTTTTGTTTTTATTTTTGTTTATTTGGTTCATTCAATTTAGTTGATTGATTGATCGGTTGGTTGATTGATTGACTGACAGACTGGCTGGCTGGCTGGCTGGCTGACTGACCGACCGACCGACCGACTGACTGATTTTTTGATTGTTTGATTGATTTATCTCATAGTATTGTATACATGAGAAAAAATCCGATTAAGCCAACCTACGGCTTCAGTAAGCCACTGTTTTTCACCTGACAAAAGCAATTTCTATATTTATACTGACAAAAATAATTGTGACATGAATATATTGATTTATTTAAAGCATTATATGTACAAAAAAGTGCTATCGTAAGAGTTCTATGAAACCCTGTAAGCCACTGCTGTAAGCCAACGTATGATTTCAGCAGCCAGTTTCTTATGAGCACCAGCAGAATGTAAAATATTCATTGAATATAATGAAGATAGTTGTTAAAATATCAATTTTGATTTATTTACGCCGTTTATTTCATAAGCAAACCAATTTTTAACATGATCGAATAGTGTAAAAAAAAGGGTGACTATAGTTCAATCCTACTAAGCCAACCTTCGGCTTCAGTAAGCCACCGGATTTCACCGGACCAAAAGCAATTTTTATATTCAAATTAACAAAAATAATTTAATAATACATAATTCTATTAATCATTATTAAAATTAAATAGAATTACTACAATGTTTTAAGCATATTAAATCAAGTAAATATTTCATTTAGCTTGCTCGTTAAAATCCATGCAATTTCGTAAGCCAACAATCCAAGCACGACAAATAGCCCGACCGATAGATCGAATTGATCGATTAGTCCTATTATTCTAGTTATGTGGTTTGGAGCAAGGGGAGACATTACTGAAAATAATTAAAAGTTGAAAAAATTGAGGTTCTTTGCATATCCCTGTTTCAACCCATAAGAAGGTGTTGTATGCTGGTAAATAGGCCTCCCCTTGGTACCTAACGTAAAACTTTGTTATCTAAGTTTACTTTTAAGTCTTTATTATCGAATCAATTTTGCAAAGCATTTTAAAGTTTAATTTACTTTGATTTTAATAATTTAAACATCTTTTTCGTAATAATGTTTCCGTATTTGTTTAGTGTCGAGAGTTTAAATTTTCAAAAAGATTTTTTAAAAGCTGATCCTACTCATTTAAAACGTCACTTACAATCGGTTCATTAGTAATTCTTTCTAATTAGTTTTTAATTTTTTTTAATTTTATTTAATTTTTTATTGATTAATAACTCTGATATTAAATCATAAACATTTAATTAATCAGCAAATAAATGTAATATATATTTATTGTGCTAGTGAAGGTCTGAGCTGAGCTGAAATATACAAAAAATTTATATTTTTTACTTTATTACACTTGCCTTTTTATATCCTATTATGTTTTGTAGCTATAAAATTTTAAATTAATTATGATATATAATACTGATTAATTGGCTGATTGATTGATTGATTTTTGAATAGCTGGCAAGCATATGATTGACTATTAATGAATTATATTGATATTTTCTTCCCAGTTAGTTACTTTAACACTAGATGGCATAGACACTTCACAGTATTTTCCAGATGTCATTGCCCACCTGACGAACAGTGACCTAATCATTAAAAAACTTGTCTGCTGGTACATCTCCCGAACAACTACTAACGTTGATAATGCGCTTTTAGTCGTCAATTCCCTAACACAGAACTGTAACGATCCTAACCCATTAGTAAGATGTCTAGCCATCAAAACTTTCACTTCTATGCAACATGTCCTAATATCTGAATATGCCATGCCTTTGGTTAGTTTAGTTTAATTTAATTTTTTTAATTATTCAATTTATAGGTCCAGTTTTTTTAAAGTAAAAGTTACTGTATGCTATTATTGTAATATGAAATTGCATAAATATTTTTCTAATCTTTAAGTAGATGGTTATGGCTGAATGAGTTTTTAAAATTTAGTAATGATCGATTGTATTTTTGTGTTTTGCAAAAAATACCAGGTTATAAATTGCCTAAATGATGAGAATGTGTTTGTTAGACGAGCATCTATCTTGGGCTGTGCCAAAATCTGCAGAATCAACCCATCCCTGTTCTCACAGTTTCAAACAGATGTCATTCAACAACTGCAGACACTACTGCTAGATAGTGATATTATCGTTGTATACAATGCTCTCAGTGTTTTGAATGAGATTCTATCCAAACAATGGGATGGTGCTAGTGGGAATGAGGATGGTGAGGAAAAAAATACAGATGGCTTGGTTGTTAGCAAGGGCCTGGCTACATTTCTTGTTTCTAAACTGGAGGTATGGCTAGGGTTGAAACTTTAATGCTTGAAGTATTTTTACTTTAAAATGTCAGTGTTATTTCACATTTACTGTTAAATATTAATTTTTCATGGTGTTTCTATTAGATTTTGTCATTTTTTCACTCATATTATTGTAGTTTGCAAAAAAAAATTTGGGTCATTAAGGTTATTATGTAGCAGCACATTGGCATGTTATTAAATTTTAGTGCTTTGATTTACAATACATCCAATCTTTCAATATTTCTATTGACAATACAATATTACTCTGGTTTTTATTGGCTGGCAGACATTTTCTGACGTGCACAAACCTACCATCCTCTCCGTCATTCTGCGATACGACTTCAAAGACCCACAAGAGACATTGCAGTTCATGAATGCCTTGGATAGATATTTCAAAGCTGATCAGCACATCCCCGCTTGCGTGACGTCAGCAGTGACTTCCGCTTTTGTTGCTATGGTTACTAGTCAGTTGCCTCATCTTAAAACTCAGGTTTTATTTTTATTTGTTAATTTAAATTTAATGATTTGTGATGAAATGGGTATAAACTGAAGGCTTAACAAACAATGGTTCTATTGTGTTGACATAAATTTGTTCACATTGCACTCATAACTCTAGTTTATTTAAGTGTGTGTGTGTGTGTGTGTGTGTGTGTGTGTGTGTGTGTGTGTGTGCGCGCGTTGATTGATGTGAGGCCGTAAATTACATGCACGCAGGTTCTTCGAAGATCGTCAGACTGTCTCTTGGGCCACTTGAAATCCGACAAATATGTGATCACCTGGTCTCTTTTCAGATTCATTGAAGACTTTGTTGCTAACAACGCAGAAATATTCAGTGGAAGTTACAAGCTCTTCATGTGCACAAATTCGGATCCAGAATATTTGAAAGTATGTTGAATGTTCATCACGATGGCTTTGTAATGAAAATAATTCCTTTTCTTTTTATGTAGGTCCAGAAACTGAAGATGCTGTCCAGTTTAACGACGAGTTCAAACTTCTCGGAGATCCACAAAAATATGATGAATGTGCACAAGAAGACGTCCAACACCGACATCCACGTTGCTGTTATAAAGTCCCTGTCGGCCATTTCGCAAAGAAAACATTTCAAGTACACGTGTCTCAAAACTATTTTAAACCTCATCAAAACAAAACCGCAGATTAGAGAAACATCTGTCATGCTGGTCGAACTGCTGAAGCACGATATCCTCACTTACGTTCGTGAAGTTAGCGCTGGTGGTAAGAACACAGAGGAGAATATCGGGGCATCTAGCAAAAGTCTCAAGTGCAGTCGAACATCTAGAAACCTGGACAGTAGAGCATTCTTGTTCAACCTTATAAAACTCAGCCTGGACTCGTTAGGTAGGGAGGGATTATCTGAAGAGGCTGTCATTCGGTCCTTATCGTTTCTCGGCGACGTTGCCATGAAGAAGGTTGCCGAGTTGTGCAGTGCAGATCAAATTATTTCAGATCCCTCTACTGATGATGCTTCTGCTAGTTTATTAGGCGATCGAAGTGATGGTGAGAATGGCGACACGACGAAAAAAACTGAAAAAACTAAAAATGGAGATGATAACAATGACGTCAGAGCTATAAATAACGACCCGCTTTGCTCGGTTGACAACACGCTCGATGATGATGATGATGATGATGGTGGTCGCGAAAATAATGACGAGAGCAATAACAATTTCAATAATAATGACGTCGACATAAGAGATGCTAATGGTGATGACGACGACGATGTTGATGGTGATGATGATAATTCATGTGATAATGTAAGCAATGATAACGATTTGTTCGCAGGCATCAGACAACAGCCATTGAATAATTATAAAACTGCCCACTTGAACAAATTAAAATTTACAAGCTCAACCAGTCATAATGATGACGACGACGACGACGATGATGGCGACGATGATGATGACTATGATAAAAAATGCAACCGTGTTAAGACTGATATAGATAGAGTGAATGGGTTGTTGAATGAAATCGTCAATGACATTCCCTATAGATTAGAAGCTTTTCTGAAAAATATTGAGAAACTAATATATCCTAAGATAAGCCGTGCCATTAACAATGATAGCATTATTTGTAACAAGGCGAAATTCACTTATAATTGCGATAACTATAATGGCGAAAGCAATGTGAACTATGCGAATGTTTTATCCGCTCTTTTAACAACTTTCTCCAGACTCTTCACGGCAGAACCAGCAGTTTATCAGCACATGCTAGGTAGGACTCTTGAAATCTGTAAAGATTTTGGCCACGTTGATTTGAGGTTTAAATCCGATTTGTATTATTGTCTGTTACGGATTGGTGTGGGTAAGCTCAAAGAAATGCTAAATAGTTGATCGGTTTTTTTATTTATTTGATTTTTCGTTGTGTGTTTTTAATGTATACAATTTTATCGTGTTTTTGTGATTTCAAATTATTTTTGATTAAAAACTTATTTTAAACAAATTCACCTCTGGTGATTTTTTTTCTCAAAATTTGAATAAATATAAAAAGCTATAATAATCGGCGTTAAATCCCGGGATAATTTACACAACAGAAATATCATTTAGTTATTCATGATTTATACGCATTAATTAATCGAAAAATCTTAAACAAGTAAGTAGATGAGATTTTCATCATGTTTTATTGTTAGTACGTGTGTGTGTGCGTGCGTGCGTGCGTGCGTGCGTGTGTGTGTGTGTGTGAAACATTATAGACGTGATTAGTGTGTGGTTACTCAGTGTAAGTGTTACATGGATGTGGCACCTCTTTAAAATGTCATTTGTAGGCGCTCCCGACTATATCTCGTTAGATGTTCTGTCATTTTACATTAGTAGAGTTTATTTTAACACTTTTTCGCTTAATTTTCTTTAACTTGGGTTAGCACGCACGCACACACCACACACACACCACACACACACTTGAATATACACACATTCACATCGACATATACATAGACACATCCTACGTTTCTATGCACACACATTTTCGTTCTGCTAATTGTGAAAATATTTAAAATATTATATTAATATCTTAACACAAATTCTCAAGAATGTTGATTGTTTGCTGCTTGCTAAAAATATACGACATGGTTGAGGTTTGATTTATGATGATGTACTATTAATTTTAAGTTTTTTGGAGTTTAAAATTTTTTAAGAGTGTTTTTGATGAAAATCGAGAAAATGACGATTAAATCATGAGATGAGATGAGAGAGAGAGAGAGAGAGAGAGAGAGAGAGAGAGAGAGAGAGAAAGAGTGTTTGTGTGTGAGAGAGAAATGCATTTTTTCGCAATCGATTCAACACAATAACTGGCAGAAAAAGAAGTGGTTAAATTTGGGCAAACAATCAACGACTGCAGCATAACGAACGAGGAAGAACAATGAAATTTATAATTTTATTCTTCGAGTTTAATCGATCGTTTGGCCGTGAACAATGCAGCGTCATTAGGAGGACAAAAGTATTTCATCACGTTTCTGTCACATGCCTTCGGGCTCTTTTAACAACTTTAATTTGGGGTAGAAATTTTTTTTTTCTAATAAGATCATAAGTATGTGTGCCAAGCTAAACGAACGAACAGCGTTTGTAAATGTGTGTGTATGAGTGATTTGTGTGCATATGTGTATTTGTGAATATGTGTATGAATGTATGTGTGTGTACGTGTGAATATTTAGTTATGATGTTTATATACATGAATGCACGTACATATGTACACATATACGGTCACATGTAAGAATCTAAATATAAACTGGCAAAATATTTTATAAATCCACACGTGCAAATGACCTGTCACATTAAGTGATTGAGTGAATGAACAAACAAATGAATAAATGGATGGGTGAAAGAAAAAATAAATGAATGAAAATTGGCAGTTGTAGTTGTAGTAGTAGTAGTAGTAGTATTAGTAGTAGTAGTAGCGATAGGAAGCTACAAGTAGCAATAAATGTATCTGTGAAGAGAGCCCATTTATAATTGGTTTCATTAAGATGTCCACTCCTATATGTGTATACATGTATGAGTATTTGTAGACGTGTGTGTATGAGTGTATGAGTGTATTTGTATACGTGTGTGTATGAGTGTATTTGTGTGCGTGTGTGTATGAGTGTATGAGTGTATTTGTATACGTGTGTGTATGAGTGTATGAGTGTATTTGTATACGTGTGTGTATGAGTGTATGAGTGTATTTGTATACGTGTGTGTATGAGTGTATTTGTATACATGTGTGTATGAGTGTATTTGTATACGTGTGTGTTTGAGTATATTTTAGTGTGCGTGTTCGTTTCGTATACGCATATATTGAGTATTTTTGCTTTTGCCTTTTTTCTGTGTATTTGTGTACGTGTGAGTGTGTATGAGTTTTTTTTTGTATGCGTTTGTATATGTATTTGTACACTTGTGTTTAAGCATTTGTGCACTTGTGTGTGAATATTCTTGTGAAGGTGAAACGTATTTGATAGAGACACACCAAATATTCGGTTTCGGCATCGGCCATTTTGGTCCAATAGCCAAATATTACAGCTTATGTTTAAACCACAAGTGTTTTGGAGATTAATTGTTGAAATTATTAGCGGAAAACTTATTTTGGCCATCTTGTTTGTTGAAACCTCTGAATTTGAACAAAGTATTGATAAAAATCTCAATCAAAAATTGTTAGATAGTCCTGATCCTAAATAGCTTACTGTTTTTTAAACAGCTTGTTTTTCCTTCAAAATTGTGGGCTCGTGTGTATTTGGCTTTAAGCTTTGGCCGAAATAGTGGATCAACTATTCCGCCTTCGACCAAATTCGTGAATGGTGCTTGGCGTGGTGTGTGTGTGTGTGATTGCATACAACTTGTACATGTGATATTTAGACGTATAAACACACACACACACACACACACACACACACACACACACACAATTGCAACATGCAAAAGTGTGTATAAGTTTGAACATGAATTCTCGAAACCATTATCATAAACACAAACCAATAATATAACCAATGTTATTATTATTGCCATTATTATTACTACTACTACTTATTAAATGTAATTTATAACAGCCAAGGAATCAATGATTTAGCCATTAAGATAATTTCCCATGGCAACAAATGAGTTAAGTATTTAATTTTATTTTCAACACCATATAAAACCATAAAACTTGGCCTGAATAAAAATACACACACACCACACACACCACACACACCACACACACACACACACACACACACACACACACACACACACACACACGTATATACGCACACACACACATCACTCACATTAACAAAAACATAATTACGCACGCGCACGCACACACACACGCACAATTATAATTATAATGTAATTACATAAAACGAAACTTTGTAAAAAAGGAAAGTAAAATAATTTAACATTTGAAATAAATTTATTTTTTCTGAAAAATATACCTCTTGTTTGATCTCGCATTAAAATGAGGTCCATATTTTTAAACAAGCGTGAAATCTCAGCTGAAACGCCTTTCTCTCTCTCTCTCCTCTCTCTCTCTCTCCACTAATTAGCCATTGTTTGTAACCTAACAACTAGAAGAGATGTAGAAAACCTTAAAAAGCTTTTTAATGGCGCTAACTTAAAAGAGATTAAGATCAGTCTACAATTGATCATTTGGCACTTCTAAACGCTCAACGAAGCAAGCGGATGAACTAAAAAAGACCATCAGGCTATGTTGTAGCAGTGAACAGTGATGTATCTAAATACAAAAATACCTGTTACATAAATACCTGTTGTACAAATACTTAAATAAACTCGTTACAAAATATGAAAATCACATTTATTCCCGCCAGCTAAAAAACCTAAGTTTAACAAGCACACAAATATCTATGTTCTCTGAAGGTATTTGTTCTCAGTAGGTATTTGCCGAAGTTATCTCAATATAGCGGGAAAATATACATTGAAAAAAAAAATAAAATATTTGAATAAAGTTAATTAGAGCGAAGAATTAAAAAAATTATTCTGAAAGAAATCGTTATTTAAAAATTTAATGTCATTTTATGTTATTTTAAATAATTTTTTATTTATCTATGCTGACGTCGCAGCGTTTCCAGCGTTTGTTTGAAATTTGTTTACCTGTTGCGTATTTCCGATTTCGTTGGAGTGAGATTTTTAAAGATAAATATTAATTAAAAAAAATTGATTCACAATTGTTCATTAAATTTTCAAAAGTATAGATCTATTTTTGAATAATGTATAATAATCGGTTTTAAAATTGCCTTACTCTTGCTTTTATTTCCTTAAATTTTTTCATTATTCTTTTAATTTTCTGGTTACTATTACAGTTCTTTGCTTTATTTATTAACAAAAGATTTTTTTGGTACGAGCAGTTACTATCGGTACTACTAATCATAGTAGTATTGACGGTTAGTGACACTCAATATAACTAATACTACTTATTTTACTACTACCACTGCTATGACAAATTCTGCCAGCCAATCAAATTGATTAACATTCAGTTGAAGAATTTTTCAAACAAGAATTCCGAATTGTTTCATTAGAGATTAGTATTAGTTAGTAGTAGCATGAGATCAATTGAGCAAGCTTTCTTATAGGCACGCACACACACACAAACATGCACAGACATTCATGAAATCATGTCAAAATGGTAATTCACATGTCCCACAATATAGTTTTAAAAAGGCATATTAAGTAACTCATGCACACACAAACACACACTCACATACATACATACAATCACACACACACACACACCACACACACACACACACACACACACACAGGCAATATTAAACAAACTATTTTACAAACACATTCATCATGTATCTTTCATTTTATTTATGTACCATGCAAAAGTTTTTGCTAAAAACCTATGTACATATATATTTATGTATATATGTGTGTATATAAATAAATATTATACATAGGTTTTAATATATATGTATAATATATTATATGTATATAATTATGCTTATATATTATATATAGTCACATTTATTAATG